CAAAACCCTCTCAAAAAAAAAAAAAAAAGTTCAGACTTGGGACCAGCAGGTGGTATAGTGGTTAAGGCACTGGACTCCGACATGGCCAACCATAGTTTGAGTCCCAGACCTGGAGACTTGAAACTCACATAGGCCACATGTGTGTGCATGACCAAAATCTCGAGAGAATAGAGGAGAAGGGACTGTGGCATGGCCATTCCCTCGGGGAGTGATTTCTCACTCTCTCTCTCTCTGCTTCTCCAGGAAGAGCATGTGCCCTATAGCAAAACTCTCACTAAAAACAAAACAAAACAAAACAAAAACAAAATAAAAACAAAAACAAACTAAAGTTCAGCCTTGGCCATGACACTGGCCTTGTCAGACAGAGAGAAATGGTTTCAGCTTCTTACTCTCAAGCCTCTTACACTTCCCTCTGCCAAACCCCAGTCTTTAGCACTTACATGGAATAACCTCACATCGCTGCAAAATTCCAATGTGCAATGACAACTCTCCCTGGCTCTCACTCACTGCACGTTGCCTTTGAAGTCCTCGTGTTCTCCAACAGCTGACAGCAAACTGCAAGCTCGATGTCTCCCATCATCTCAGGTTTAGAGCTCTGCCTTTCTTTTGAATGTTCAGCCCAGGCCAGGCATTTGTTCTACCCCTCCCTGCTTCCTAGGTTACGTGAAGGGACTTTAAAAAATTCATTGAAAAATCGAATGAAGGGACCAGCGATTAGCGTAATGGCTATATTGCTGGACTCCCATGTAGTTGACCACGGTTCACGTCCCAGACCCGGTGGCTTCAACTCACACCCAGCATGTGTGCATGCGTGCCCAAGATCCCGAGAGGAGAATGGAGGAGAAGAGATTGTGGTGTGGTCATCCCCCCTGGGAGGTGATTTCTTGCTTTCTGTCTCTCTGTCTCTCTGTCTGGCGAGTGCATGCACCCTATAGCCAAAAAAAAAAAAAAAAAAAAAAAAAACCAACTCTCCAAAAAAAGAAAAAAGATCAAATGAAAGTATGAGTTTATTTTGGCATTAAAAAAAGGGACACTCATACAGTTTTTCAAAATACATATTTCCATGAACTTTTCAAAGACCCCCCCCCATGCTAAAAAAACTATTTCTCTAAAATTCATATTAAACTGGGGCCCTTCTATTTTATCTGGCAACTCTATACAGAAAAACATATCCAGTTTTATGTGGCTAGTTCCTTCAGGAATGTCAGGTTGTGTGGGGCCCAGGGCCAGCAAGGTGGGCAGGCAAGAGCTGGCTCTGTCCTGGAGTCCTGGGGACATGTGGGAGGCAGTGGCTGGCCACATGGAGCCTCCAGTCTGGACCTCAGCCTCTGCTCCTCTCCACCAAGTGCAACAAAGTGTCTTGAGAAGAGATGAGAAGCCCTGGGATGCAGGGAGTCTAGACAGGAGGGTAGGAGGGTAGGAGGGCGACAGCAGGCCCAGAGGTGTAAGAGCGAGCACAGCCTGGCAGGTAGGTGACGTGATGGAGGCGGCATGAGAAGCACCTTCCACACATCAGTTTTAGAGGCATCGGGTGCTGTGGCTTAGTTCCAGACTTGGACTCTGCCTCTATTCAGTTTTCATCTCTGTCATCCACCCCTTGAGCAAGTCACATGTGGCCTCTCCAGGCCTCAGTTTCCCCGCTGGTAAAAACGAAATGGAATTATGTAACCTGGCAGGATTTTTTTCTTTTTTCACGGTGGGGTCTTGCTGTGTTGATAAGACTTGCCTGCTGAGTTGCTGGAGCCACGGGCACTTGCCATGAGCCAAGCCCTTCTGTTAGATGAGGGGTTGCTCCAAGGCCTCCCTTGGGCTCAGTGTCTTAGTAGCACACGCCATCATGACTGGGTTCTCATAGAATTTCTTCTTGACAGTTACCTGAGATAAATGTATGTATACTTCCTCCATGCTGGGCACAACCATGGGGCCTGGATCTTCTTGTGTAGTTCTTGTTTTGTTTTGTTTTTGTAGTTTGCTATAGGACTTGCGCACTGGCCAATAGACAGAGAAATAAACCCCCCAGGAGAAACAGCCACACTGTAATCCCCTCCCTTCCATTCTTCTCTCCAAATTCGAGGCAAATATGCACGTGTGCATGGCATGATCCTCCAGCTATCAGGAACAGGAGCCAAAACACCCGGCTAGCAATATAGCATCCAGCCACCCCAACCTCCATGCTACCTGCTAATCCTTCTTTATGTGTTTTTTTTTTTTTTTTCCACAAGGCACATGCGCTTACTGGAGAGAGATAAGAGAGAGAAAGAGAACCCTTCAAGGGGGATGGCTATGCTGTAATTCCTCCTCGTCCATTCTCTTCTCAGAACTTTGGGCACACACACATACACACCTGACATGTTTCCAATCCACTGGGTCCAACACTCAAACCATGAAGTCGTACGTGTGGAATCCAGTGCCTTAAAACACTGCAGCATGGCTGGCCCGTCCTGTATTACCGTTTATGGTAGTACAAGCCACGGCCATTCTCACTCAGGACCTCAGTCAATGTGCCGACCCCAGGAGCCTCTCTCCTCTTTAGTCAAGTGGAGAAAGTGGCCCTCATCTCACTTGCAGGTGGAGGAGGCTCAAAGCAAAGGATGACAGTGACATTCCCAAGGACAGTGCCCAGAATTTGTGACTCTAGGAATGTATAGGGCCTAGGCTGGCACACTGGTTACTGAGCTAGCCAGGAAGGCATGAACATTAGGACACAACCCAGGGACCAGGCTGCACGCGGGTGAGCCAGACTCCAGCCCTGACTCTATGTAGGCGAGTGCTTGGATGCTGAAACTTTTCCGTTCTTCATTCATTCCTTTATCTTAAACGCATCTATCATCCCAGCCTATAATCCTCATTTAAAACGCAGTTTAATTGGAAAAGGCAAACTGTGGGGATGGAGCACACAGCGGCTGCCCGGAACTGAGGAGGGTGACTATGAAGAGCACAGAGGAATGAATGCCGGGAGTGATGGGATCATTCTGTCTTGATTACAGAAGTGGCTACATGATTCCATTTGTCAAAACTCATAGACGCTCATACTAGGAAAGATGGAAATTTACTGTATGTGAATCATACCTTAATAAATATATTTTAAAATAACATTTATTTACTTTTATTCATTATTATTACTGTTTTTAATTTGACCAGTGAGAGAGGGAAAGTGAGAAAGTAAGGCACCAGGTCCAGGGCTCAAATAGCAGTTGGCCATGTGGGAATCCAGAGCCTTCATCACCATGCCACTTTCTGACCCCAATAAATATATTTTTAAATGACGAGTCTAGTGAAAAACAACAATAACAAGACTCCACGATTATGAAAAAATTAAAACGAGGGTAGGGGTTGGGATAGTGGCTACTACTGGAGCTAGAGGATGGCATGGCCAGGAAAGAGGCATGAGAGAACCATCTAGAATGTTGGACACGTCCAGTCACTGGATCTAAGTGATAGGTACATGGGTGTGTATGTGTGTGTGTGTGTGTGTGTGTGTAAAAATTCATTTAGCTGCACCCTTCTTATCAATGTATGCTACACCACTATAGGAAAGTGAAAGAAAGGCCAGCCAGTGGTGTGGTGGTTAAAGCACTGGATCCAACATGGCCAACTGTGTAGTTCGAGTCCTGGACCTGCTGGCTTGAGTGTGTGCCTAAAATACTGAAAAGAGAAAGAAATGGAGGAGAAGAAATTAAGGTGTGATCATGCCCCATGGGGGGGTTGCTTTCTCACTTTCCCCCTCTCTCTCTCACTCTCTCTTTCTCCAGTGAGTTCACATGCTTTAGCAAAGAGAAAAAAAAAAAGTAAAAGGAACAATCATTTTAATTTAAAACATCTCCCCTAATCAGACTTGTGTCACTACCTGCTTGGGAATGGACCCATTGCCTTTATCTGGGCAGAAAGAGTCCAATCTCCCACAGTCGTGGAGCCCTGTTCTCTGCAGTAGCACCTCTCAGATAGTAAATTAGCCAGCGGGTCAGGGTGATATTCAGAATATTTAACGACTGGTGCAGAGCAGCATAGCAACCAGAAAACCACACCCAATAGTTCACGCAGGTGCAAATCAAACGGAATTATCAACTGTGTGTGTAGCAGTCCCCGCCTTTGTGGGTGACTCTGGAATACTTTCCAGCCTGGTGGTGTAGACCAACTTTGAACTGAAGGGGATGGGCTGCAGTTGCTCCGTATCAACACCTCTCTGGCCTGGGCGAGCAATGCCGTGTGAGCATCCAGCTTCCTTGATCTGTATTCCCTGACTTGGTTTTCTTTGGGCCTGTCTCCTATCCTTTCCTGCACTTCCAAGCACCTTTCTAATAGCCCCATAAAAGTAAATAATTACAAGGCCAGCAGGTGGCGTGGTGGTTAAGGGTACTGGACTCCCACACTCAAACTGTGGTTCGAGTCCCAGACTTGACGGTTTGCTTCTCACTTTCTCCCTCTCACTCTGTCCCTCTCTGGTCAAATTAAAATAAATAAATAAAGTTAAATAAAATAAGTTTTAAAATAATAATAATTACATAGAAAAGAATGTCCAGATTTCACTGGATATCCTTGAGGTCATTGCTGTGCTGGAACAATGACTTAGAGTAACTCACATCCCCTTACTGGGCATAGACATCCGGCAGCCATTTTTCCACCTGCCGTTGCTAGGTTGGTGTCCTGACGTAGGCATGCGAGATTCCTCCAGTCCCTCCATGGGTGTGGGGACTTGTACCCAAATCATCCACCCTGACAGCTTTGCCCTGCGGCCCGTTCCCATCTGCCGACCTCAATGTTGTAACAGCGAGCCAGTCATAGCAGCCCAGCAGCTCCAGGCTGAGGCAATCCATTAGCCGTCACCTACAGGCCCTTGAGGCTGCTTGAGCACGTGGGGTCAGTGCGCTGAGGCATGTGGCACCCTGCCAAGTGGCAGCTTTGTTCTTGGATGGCCCCTGACAGGGACACGTGGCAGAGACTGCCATCTGGCAGGGCTGAAGGAGTGAGGTTAGGAAGACATGGGAGAAGACATGAATTACCTTATTGAAACCTTTGGTGACCAAATTGATGGCGAGTTCTCGGCTAATCCCATCCACCCAGCCAACATCTTTTTCTCCAATCGGTTCAGAGAGGAAGGCTCTCAGCCTAGGAGACATGTGATCCATGTCCTGAAGCAGGAAGAGGGAGGGGACAGTTAGCAGATGCCCGGCTGCTCTGGTGTGAGTGGACACTGGGGAGCTCCCTCAGCCCACCAAGGTCCTGGGCAACAACAGATGGCAGGCTTCCTCCCATCATCCAACACTACTGGGGATTTTCCAGTGCCACATGCTCTGCCCTGCATTGGACACGTCCATCCATTCCCACCTGGAGGACAAAGAGAAGGGTAAGGGTGGCCACAGATGTGTCAAAGACATTCCCATGAACAGGGCATGCTTAGTATTAAAAACTGCCATGGGTTTCTTTTGGACTATTTCTACCCTAAATGCTTAAAGAAATGGCTTGCTTTGCTTAGCTAATTAACTTACCTTCTCATTTAACCACCTTCTCGTTTAACCACCTAACACACTTAACATGCCTTTTTTTGAAAAGAATTATCTATTTAATTTTATTTATCATTATTGTTACTATTATTTTTTAAGATTTCATCACAGAGAGAGAGAGAAAGAGAATGAGAAAGCAAACCACCAGGTTCAGAACTTGAACCGTGGTCAGCCATGTGGGAGTCCAGCACCTTAACCACCACGCCACCTGCCGGCCCCACACACTTACCATACTTTGGGTATTTTATCATACTCTGTAACAGTTGGTTGTTTGGTTGCAACTAACAGAAAACTATTCAACATATTAAGGATCAAATATGAAGGATGATATTACATAACTCAAAACCCAGGAGTAAGAGTGGACATAGTATAACCAGGGCCCAGGTCCATTTCTCCACAAGTCTTTCAGCTTTCTCTCCTCGTGTTGGCTTCCTCTCCATTGGTTCCCTCACGGAGATGAAACAACCCTAGCACTCACATTATCCAACAGTGCCACTCAAGAAAAAGGAAGGGAGAGAGCTGAGTCTCTCAGAAGTTCTAAGCAGATGCCTCAATCCAGTCTCTAAGATTTTTACAGTGTCACCAGTGTGGGCTCAGTCATGAGGGAGCCATGTGCCCCAGTCCTAGGTTTCAGAGCGAAGTTAGCTTTCTCTAAGCCATACAAGCTGGGAGTTCAAGTGAACTGACCTGAACAAAATCAGAATTGGCATCCAGAGAAGTGGAGATGGGTATTAAAGCAGTCACTATCACGTGCCACTACACGCCATCTCTTTGGCTATCAAATACCTACATACTCTCCTCTTCCCTTATGTAATCATCAGGAACAAACACATTTGGCTGGGACCAGCAGTTGGCGTAATGGCTATGTCGCTGGACTCCCATGTGGTCGACTGTGGTTCAAGTCCCGGACCCGGTGGCTTAAACTCATGCCGGGAGCGTGTGCTTGCCCATGATCCTGAGAGGAGAATGGAGGAGAAGAGACTGTGGTGTGGCCATCTCCCCTCGGGGGTGATTTCTTGCTTTCTATCTTTCTGTCTCTCTCTGTCTGGCTGGCTAGCACATGTGCCCTATAACAGAAACCTCTCAAACACAAACAAAGAAACAACCACATTTGACTAGAATAGATTCATTCACCCTCTCCTCCAAAGGGTGGAACCTTGTGATCCATCCAGTTACTGGATATAGATTCCAGGTCATATTTTTTCGGGGGGTGTGCATCATTCTCCCCATCACGTCCAGAGGTACGGACCATGGTCACTCATGACCTGGTACCGATGAATTACATTCTGAATGCCACCACTGTCCACCTAGTCAGCAAAGCTGGAAAGAACACAGCAAAGGCTATCTGCAATAGGAATGTCCACGGGGATGGAGAGCGGCAGACACACTCAGCTGTCACCGGTCAGTCGTACACACAATATCCTGCTGAGCGGAAGGCTCGAGGATCCCCGCCCTGATGGCAGCAAGCTCCTCAGTCAGGCAATATGGCAGCCCTCAGGTCTGAGTTTGGTGCGTCTTCCGCTGCCGGGTTAACATTTGAGCGAGTATACGTGATGCCTTCCCAAGAGAATCACTGTTTAGCACCCTGTGCTTGGGTGTCCAAGTTCCAGGGGTGCCCTGAGGAATGGGCGATCTTGGGCTCTGGCCTCTCTGCAGCCAATCAGTTCCATTAAGAATGTCCCACATGGCCCACTGCAGTTCAGGTCCCGGCCCCAGCAGCTTGAAACTCACGCCGGGCACATGTGCATGCCTGTTTTAAATCGTGAGAGGAGAATGAAGGGGAAGAAATCGCGGCGTGGCCATATTCCCTGGCAGGGGGAAGAAGGTGATTTCTCACTTTCTGTCTCTCTAGTGAGTGCATGTACCCTATGGCAAAACTCTCTCTCTCAAATAGATAAGTAGGTAGGTAGGTAGATAGATAGATAGATAGATAGATAGATAGATAGATAGATAGATAGACAGATAGATATAGATACAGATGATAGAGATGGATAGATATGTATAGAATTTAACAAGCTTCTGTTGTTCAGGTCCACAGGCTGCCACTTAGAGCTGGCGAATTCTTCAAGTAAGAATTCTTTTTTATATATATTGTCATTATTATTATTTATATATTCAATCACTATACATCATTTAGATTGTAAAGAGACCTTACGCAGCATGATACACACCTCAGTCAGTCCAGTGGAGAATACTATACATGTCATCATCAACAGGTAATAAACCATATCTGTGTCCCACATATGTCTTACCTCTCTATTTTTTCCCCCATATTTTTCAAAATTTTCTTCCACTCTTCCCCTCTCCCACTCTCCTCCCGCTTTGCCCCCAGTGTCCATAACAATTTTCAATGCTTTTATGTCCTTCAGTCTTTCCGACTCTCCTCAGATAAGAATTCTTTCTTTTTTAAAGAATTATTTATTTATTTAATTCCATTTGTTATTATTATTTTTAAATTTGACCAGAGAGAAAGAGAAAGGGAAAGCGAGAAATCAAGGCACCAGATCCAGGACTTGAACCGTGGTCAGCCACGTGGGAATCCAGCACCTCTATCCACCACGCCACCTGCTGGCCCCTCCTCAGGTAAGAATTATTTAGCAGACAGCTGGCCTCTGCCCTTTGCCCACTGCCCTGCAGACAGGGGCATCTCTTTTCACCCCTGAAGTGCCTCCACCTGTACCCCAGCTGCATTTTTCAATAAGTTGTCCCTCTAGCAAGCTTGACACCCTTAAGATGAGGTGTTCGAGTGAGGCCTAGGGAACTGGCGGTTATCTATTTCCAGGGCCCGAACCTTTTCTCTTATAAAGTGACATATTTGCTGCCTGTGTTCTAAGTTTAGCCAGATCAAATGCCCAACCCAGCAGGACTTACTTATCAATTTCTAGTCACTTGAGGCTACAGGGCATGGAGGGTTAGCTAACCTTCTTTTCATCCCTCTCCATTCTCACCTAGGCTGCCTTCCCCCACCTTAATAAAGACTGCCAGAGGGAACAACACCCCAAATATTTCCTATAAGAGCTCCAAATGTCAGGGCCGTGGAAGCATAACATCTGTATCCCAGTAGAACCAGCCATTCTGCTGAAGACGTTCGCCATCTTCCTGGTTGGATTAATGACCTTGTTGTCACTGCCTGAATGGCTCTTCTCAGCTGACCCCACATTCAAAGTTTGCTCACTGCAGCATTCTCTTCCTGCTAGCCAATTCGGTGTCAGTTTGGACAGTTTCTGATGCGAGTAATATAAAGTTCAGTTCAAATCAGCTTACGGTAACACGGAGGTTTTGTTAACCTGTGTTATCAAAATGTCCAGAGGTAGATCAGGTATGGTTTGATCAAGGCTTTAGCTTGATTTCCCTGCAACTTATTTTTTAAGGAAAACGTTTTTATTAAGATGATAATTATCTTTTTTTGTGGGGATATGATGTGATTTTTCAGTACAAGACAATGTATAAAAATTAATAACTATTAATCAATATGGGTAATGGGTAATCGAAATGCCCATCACCCCAATCATCTGGCATTAGTTTCTGGGAACATCAAAATCCTTTTCGTTACTTTGGATTACATAGTGAGTTATAGTTAGTAAAATTCTCCCCACTGTACTTACAACACTGGAAATGGTTCTTCTTACCCATCTGTCATATTGTTTCCATGAATCAACATTCCTCTCCCTTTCTCCCCATCCTTCTCGGCCTCTAGTCATCATTTTTATCTTTCTACATCTATGAGTTTTTTTTTTTTCAATTTCATATGAGGGAAAACATATGGTATTTCTCTTTCTGTGCCTGGCTTATTTTGCTTAACTTCATATGACAGAATTTTGACTTTTTCAATGGCTGCATAGTATTCTGGTGTGTGTGTGTGTGTGTGTGTGTGTGTGTGCGCGCGCGCGCACCATTTTAAAAAATCAATTCATCTGCCGACAGACACTTATCCACATCTTGGCTGTTGTAAACAGTGCTGCAATGAATGTTGGGTACAGACGTATTTGCGATATTTACGACGTATTTACTACCTTTCCTTTGGATGTGCATCTGGTAGTGGGATTGCTGGGTCGCAACTCTCCTCAGATAAGAATTCTTTCTTTTTTAAAGAATTATTTATTTATTTAATTCCATTTGTTATTATTATTTTTAAATTTGACCAGAGAGAAAGAGAAAGGGAAAGCGAGAAATCAAGGCACCAGATCCAGGACTTGAACCGTGGTCAGCCACGTGGGAATCCAGCACCTCTATCCACCACGCCACCTGCTGGCCCCTCCTCAGGTAAGAATTATTTAGCAGACAGCTGGCCTCTGCCCTTTGCCCACTGCCCTGCAGACAGGGGCATCTCTTTTCACCCCTGAAGTGCCTCCACCTGTACCCCAGCTGCATTTTTCAATAAGTTGTCCCTCTAGCAAGCTTGACACCCTTAAGATGAGGTGTTCGAGTGAGGCCTAGGGAACTGGCGGTTATCTATTTCCAGGGCCCGAACCTTTTCTCTTATAAAGTGACATATTTGCTGCCTGTGTTCTAAGTTTAGCCAGATCAAATGCCCAACCCAGCAGGACTTACTTATCAATTTCTAGTCACTTGAGGCTACAGGGCATGGAGGGTTAGCTAACCTTCTTTTCATCCCTCTCCATTCTCACCTAGGCTGCCTTCCCCCACCTTAATAAAGACTGCCAGAGGGAACAACACCCCAAATATTTCCTATAAGAGAAAAAAATGTCAGGGCCGTGGAAGCATAACATCTGTATCCCAGTAGAACCAGCCATTCTGCTGAAGACGTTCGCCATCTTCCTGGTTGGATTAATGACCTTGTTGTCACTGCCTGAATGGCTCTTCTCAGCTGACCCCACATTCAAAGTTTGCTCACTGCAGCATTCTCTTCCTGCTAGCCAATTCGGTGTCAGTTTGGACAGTTTCTGATGCGAGTAATATAAAGTTCAGTTCAAATCAGCTTACGGTAACACGGAGGTTTTGTTAACCTGTGTTATCAAAATGTCCAGAGGTAGATCAGGTATGGTTTGATCAAGGCTTTAGCTTGATTTCCCTGCAACTTATTTTTTAAGGAAAACGTTTTTATTAAGATGATAATTATCTTTTTTTGTGGGGATATGATGTGATTTTTCAGTACAAGACAATGTATAAAAATTAATAACTATTAATCAATATGGGTAATGGGTAATCGAAATGCCCATCACCCCAATCATCTGGCATTAGTTTCTGGGAACATCAAAATCCTTTTCGTTACTTTGGATTACATAGTGAGTTATAGTTAGTAAAATTCTCCCCACTGTACTTACAACACTGGAAATGGTTCTTCTTACCCATCTGTCATATTGTTTCCATGAATCAACATTCCTCTCCCTTTCTCCCCATCCTTCTCGGCCTCTAGTCATCATTTTTATCTTTCTACATCTATGAGTTTTTTTTTTTTCAATTTCATATGAGGGAAAACATATGGTATTTCTCTTTCTGTGCCTGGCTTATTTTGCTTAACTTCATATGACAGAATTTTGACTTTTTCAATGGCTGCATAGTATTCTGGTGTGTGTGTGTGTGTGTGTGTGTGTGTGTGCGCGCGCGCGCACCATTTTAAAAAATCAATTCATCTGCCGACAGACACTTATCCACATCTTGGCTGTTGTAAACAGTGCTGCAATGAATGTTGGGTACAGACGTATTTGCGATATTTACGACGTATTTACTACCTTTCCTTTGGATGTGCATCTGGTAGTGGGATTGCTGGGTCACACAGCTATTGTTTCTCTTTCTTAGCTTTTTGCTCCTGTATGTCTCTTGACTCAGCCTTCCTTTGCATACCAGCTCCATCCCCAGCTTAACTCCCCTCCCCGAAAGGAACACAGAGCTCTCTTACCCTAGACGCTGCCAACCAAAGCCTTCTGCGGTTGAAATTGTAATATGCCAGCTCCTAAGACAAAAATCATGGTCTGAGGTGGCCTTACTCTGGGTTCAGAGAGAGTCAAAGCCTTACCCTTCAACACAGGGGCTATAGGGGGAGGGATGGGGGACAAAAATCAGGACAGTTACCACATTACTGGGATTGTATCCCATCCCATGATATGTACGATGTTAGAAAAGCAAGTCAATGTCCACCACATACTCTCCATGGGGGGTGGGCTCCCTGGTCGCTGCTGCTCCCCACCCTACCCTCAGCCCCATACTAGGAACTGAACCTGGCATGTAATAAACACCAGACAATATAAATGACCCCTTCCACCTGTCCCCCCTCCTGTCCCCATCCTCGCCATTCTCCTCCAGACCTCTCTGTAAAGTTGATCTCCTCTTGTAAGTGTCCTTGCCCAGGGGGTGTTTTGTAGCACTTTGAATGAAACCAAACTCTGCAAGAAGAGGTGACTGCGAAGGCTCTGATTTTAGCACTCAGGGGCTCCCAAGGAAAGTGGTCTCAACGTGTCGGCAGACTCTAGGAAGGGAACATAAGGCAAAAGAGGTTGTTTGGAGACCCCCGGTGCTGTGGGTTTCGGATACAGAGATGTGTGAGCCGTGAAAATATCTTAATGTTATGGATTTCAAAGACAGAGGGAGAGGAACTTCCAACAGGGTCCTCATGCAACAATCCACCCGTCTCAGCCAGCCCCAGGTCACGAGCACAGGTATGCACCCGGCGTGCACAAGGACAGCTCTGGATGCAAACCCAGGACCTTCCCATGTGAGTCCAGTTGAGTTACCACTACCCTGTGCTAATACATTGTTACATAATGGTCTCTCTCTTCAGCAGCTGAACATGAGGATCGCTGTTCATCTGAGAAAATATGTTTCCTAAAGACCAGAAAGAAGAACGTTCAATGCCAGGGCTAAGAGGTCAACTCCTGAGCACCCTCAGTTTTACAGGAAGGTGAATCAAGGTCTTGACCCAGCTCAGGGCTGGGCTGGTACTAGTCTAGCATTTCTGAACGAGAAACAGCCTGAAAGTGTCGCTGGCCACGGGAACTTTGCAGAGGGAAAATTCCACTCACTATCTATGTTGGATTCCTGTGAAGTTAAACATCTCTGCTATTAAACCTGCTAAGAATAAATGGAAACAACAACACGGTTATCAAAGCACCAGCAGCATCAAAGCCGGGTAATGATTAGGAACACCTCGAGTGTGTTTGTTTTTCTCACACACTGGCTCTCACTTCGGCCCTTGAGAACTGCTACGGGGCAGCGATTTTGATGAGCCTAAGGACCCCAGTAGCAGCAGGAGAGATCACAGTGAAAGGTCTCTGTATTCTTTGGATATCTTTGGCTGCAACATGGCTTCTTATTCAGGAGATTAGGCTCCCCCTGGAACATGTGGCAATGTCTAGACACCTTTTTACTTGTCACAGCTGGGGGTGGGGGTGCTATTGGAACCTGGTGGGTAGAGGCCAACAATGCCACTAAACACCCTGCAATGCACAAGATGGTTTCCACACCGAAGAACTACCTGGCCCCGAAGGTCAACGATGTCAAGTTTGAGAAACCTTGGGCTACCAGTAATAGAGAATCCTGACTCAAATTGTCCTATGTCATATTCTTTTTAAATAATTATTTTATTTAACTTTATTCATCATTATTATTTTTTTAAATTTGATCAGAGAGAAAGAGAAAGAAGCAAAGTGAGAAAGCAAACTGTCAGGTCCAGGAATCGAACCACAGTCAGCCATGTGGGAATCCAGCACTTTAACCACCATACCACCTGCTGGCTGCTATCCTATCTAATAAATACACTTCATCTTTTTCTTCGGTAGGGTACATGCGCTTCTTGGAGAGAGACAGAGAGAAAGTGAAAAGGCACCCCCCAGGGCAATGGCCACATCACAATCCCTTCTCCTCCATTCTCCTCTTGAGATTTTGGGCATATGCTCACGCACGCGCGTGCACACACACACACACACACACACACACACACTTCTCAGGTTGTGGAGCCCAAGATTCAAACGTCTATTTGGGTTGGCCATTTGGGATCCAGCCGCTTTAACTACTGGTTCTGATTCAGCAGGTCTGGAATGGGCCTTAGACACTATTTCTAACCAGCTCTGAGGAAATGCCCATGTTCTAGGCCGCAGGCCAACAGCCTAACCATTTATTTATTTGCTTATTTAAATTTTATTATTATTTTTTTTTTAGTTTAGTTTTATTTATTTTTTTTTTTTTTAGTTTTTTTTTAGAATAGTGTAGATTTATTTTTTTTTTTTTTAGTTTTTTTTTAGTTTAGTGTAGTCACCACCGAAAGACAGAGAGAGGGAAAGGGAGAAATCACCCCCCCACACCCCAACACACACACAAAATGCCTGCAGATTTCGCTCTGGTTCCACTGCAGGAAGGAGGGCCACACTTCAACCTGTTCTCCTCCATCTTCCTCTTGGGATTCTGGACAAGCATGCACATACGCCCAGCGTGTTTTTCAAGCCACCGGGTCTGAGACTTGAACCATGAAGTTGGCTATGCAAAATCCAGCTTAACCACCACACCACTGGCTGGCCCGGCCTAACCATCTCTAAGGGTATAAGATAGCAGTGTTCACTTGTCCTTTGGTATCCACTGTGGATTGGTTCCAGGACCACCACCACACCACCACCACCCACACCCCTCACAGAGACTAAAATCCATGGATACTCAAGTCCCTAAAAATGTAAGATAACCTCGTGTTGGTGAATAACGTACACTCATCCTCTCATACGCTTTAAATCACCTCTAGGTTACTTAGCATGCCTAATACAACATAAACGCTGTGGAAAATAGTTGTTCTACTGTATTGTAGGGAAGAATGACAAGAATGAAGTCCACACAATGTTCAGTACGGAATGGACCTGTCGTAGGCCTAACTGTGTCGTTCGTGTCACTAGCAGCATCGTGTTTTCCAACCACAGTCGGCTGAATCGGCAGAGGCAGGATCTACAGATCTGGAGGGCCCCCTGTGTGTTCGTATTGTCCTGCCACCAATTTCCAGAACTACTTCAGCTTGCAAAACAGAAACTCTGCATCCATTCCACTATGTCAATGTTGTTTCCCAATATCCCCCTCCACCCAGTCCCTGGCAACCACCATTCTACTTTCTGTCTCTGTGAATATGCCTCCTATAAGTAAAGTCAGTGTTTGTCCTGTGACTGGCTTATTTCACTTAGCACGATGTCTTCCATGATCACCCATGCCATAACTTGGATCAGAATTTCTCTCCTTTTTGGAAGCTGAATAATATTCCATTGCAGGGATATCCCAGCTTTTACTGATTCTTCCTCTTTCAGTTGACAGACATTTGGATGGCTTCCACATTTTGGCTATTCTAAATAGCACTGCTGTGAACCTGAGTATGCGGATGTCACATCAAGGCCCTATTTTCCATTCTTTGGGGCACATAGCCCAAAGTAGAATTGCTGGAATCATGTGCCATCAAGTTGTCAGGAAAGTCATCATGACGTGTTCTTCTATGCAAAAGTGCATCATGAATTTCCCAATGACCCAATAATTCTATTTTTAAATTTGCTTTTTTTTTTTTTTTTGAGGAATCATCACATAGTTTTCCACTGGGGCTATGCCCGTGCAATTTATTCTTTTTTTTTTTTTTTTTTTTTTTTTTTTTTTTTGAGAGGTTTTTGTTATAGGACACATGTGCTCACCAGACAGAGAGAGACAGAGAGACAGAAAGCGAGAAATCACCACCCCCCATGGGAATGGCCATGCCGAAATCCCTTCTCCTCCATTCTCCTCTCGGGATCTTGGGCACACAAGCGCACGCGCCTGGCATGAGTTTCTGCCACCGGGTCTGGGAACTCAAACCATGGTTGACTACATGTGAGTCCAGCAACATAGCCATTACACTAACTGCTGGTCCCTATTCTTAAAATTGATATCACATTAGACTTACATGGGGACATGTATGCGTTACAGACGTGTGGGTTACTCCACCAGAGAGAGTTTGATTTCACTAACATGGGATGTTGGCCTGGACATTAGAATTGTTTAATGATCCCAATTCATGGCAAAGTTTGAGAACCACTGCTTTCTCGTTTGCTTTACCCTCATATAGTTCTCAGCAGTTGGCTAGGATGAGGGGATTCCAGCTGGGTGAGACTTCATGGTGGGCTCTGTACTGTCTACATCTCCATGCGGCATATGCTCCAGCTCCCAGCGGTGACTACCCAGAACCACGGGGCACATCCATCTCTATCAGTCATCCCTGGGAAGACTCAACCACAACCCGAAGACTTGGAAGTCCAAGAACTTCAGAGCAGACGGATCTCAAAAATGACCTGCTCCTCTCTTTTTCTTCCTTTTTAATTAAAAAAAAAAAAATGAGGATCTTTACTTGAAAGAAAATTTTGACTTGGCATCCTTTTACATGAAATAGATCAAAGCAGAATTACTCTATTGATCTGGGGATGAAGTGAAGGCACCAGACCCACCTTACCCCAGATACACGGAGACGTCCGCTTGGCTTCCCTATACTCCCAAACTCCTCTCGAATCTAATGTAAACCCCTTATTTTGCCCATATGAAAACCAAGGCCCAGGAATTTAAGCACCTACTCCAGATCAGGCACCCAGCAAAGCATGTTTGGCCCTCTGTCAGCTCGGGAAGCCTCCCTCCTCCGAAGGCCCACGCATTTCCTGGTGAGCTCCAGGACTGGCTGTTTTACTGTCAGAACGGCCAACACTGGGCCACCAGAGGCAGACCTACGACAAATGCCTGAACGTCACCCTGCCCTGTCAAAGATTCTTGTATTACAGGGCGTTCTCTCAATTATGTATCTTGAACCACAAAGTACTGCTTGGGGAGAACACGTTGGCAGGGAATGACCTCAATCAATTCTGGGTTTAGATGATTAGAGAGCCACCTGTTTAAATAAGGAATAAAGGAGTCCATGGAATTTAATCACGATTCCCAACGGAATGACCTCCCCGCTGCAAATGTTTGACAGCTTTTAAAGGTCATTTTTAAAAGCTGTATGATAGGTCTGATAGCTGACCACAAGTATTGGAGAAATGGGGGGGGTGGGTAGGAGGATTGCTTGAAAGCCAGAAAAAGGGGTATTTGGGGCTTGGCTTTCTTTCTAGTGTAAATATTCTACACCGATTCAAAAGGTGACAGCATTAGCTGAAAGTGAAGCTGTTGTTCTCTGAAAATTGTACAAGATGACACAAAAAGCCACTAGGATGCTATTGTTTTCTTGGGCAGTGGTAGCTCTGTTTTGCAGTGTTGGATCCATGTGGAAGACCCTGGGCTCAGATCTCTGGCTGACCTGTACATCCCAGGCATGTGTGCTCACAATCCTGGCAGGCTGGAAAGCAGAGAGGGGCAGGAGGAGGGGAATTGTAGCGTGAGACTCTGTCTATACTGCTTGTCCTTTTCTTTATATCTCTGTCACGAAAGAAAGAAAAATTTTTTTAATTACCCCCCATTTTTAAAAAGTTATTTTTTTTAAATGTGAATGGAAAAGTA